GTTTGTTACTCTCTTGTAACACCTCTAATCTTCTGGCGCTCATATGACCTTATGCAGTTGCGAGCACCACAAAAGCTCTACTAAAAAACAAATATTTTTTTCTTGTGTGAGTGATTGTGATTGGCGTAAAGTGCTCAGAGCTTATACTAGTATGGGATAGAACGCTATATAAATGCAATCTATTACTAGATTTCTTCTACTATTACTATGTTATGTATAATGTACATTATTCACACACACACACACACACACACACACACACACACACACACACACACACACATACACACACACACATACACACACAAGGGGCTCTCGTGGTTTAGAGGTTACGGTCTATCTATCTATCTATCTATCTATCTATTTTCATCATCAGCGTTTATTCACCAACCTATGAATTTATTCACGCAGACCAACAGACACACAGAGAGACAGACAGACAGATAGACAGACAAGGACGAAATGAAAAATGAATGATGTTTGACGACCTTGAGGGTCGCTAATATCATTATTATTGTCTTGTTTGTTTACTTTACAAAGCTGAAATTTGGGAAACAGCGTTTTTCCCTTTTTTTAAAACACGTGTCTGTTCATTGCAACATCCAAAAAGCATGGAACTTTTCCTTTTTCAAAAAAAAGTATTCACGGTGATGAGCTTCGTTTTTAGCTCCAAAAATATTTATCTAACGTGTACTTTGAAAACATTTAGCTGCAGACACCGAGAGGGAGTGGCTTTAGTCACATTTATCTCGTGTCTCGAGTTTTTGCAATTGTCAAATCAATGGCCCTGCAGCTACTAGTATCTGTGAAGTAGCGATTAAGCGTCTTGTCGACGCACACTAAAGAATTGAGTTTAATTCCCATATTAGTATTTCAGTTATAAACAAACGAAGTGTATACAGACCCGGTAACCGGGAACAAAGTCACGAAGTATACAGACCCGGTAGAGGAACTCTTTTGTGATTTCGGGAAGTTTCAGCCCCCAGACCCGGTAGAAATCGTGTGTGTGTGTGTGTGTGTGTGTGTGAGAGAGAGAGAGAGAGAGAGAGAGAGAGAGAGAGAGAGAGAGAGATAAAGAGAGAGAGAGAGAGAGAGAGAGAGAGAGAGAGGGAGGGAGAGGGAGAGAGAGAGAGAAAGAAAGGAGGGAGGGGTGCTAGCAAAATGTATATGACATGCCCCAGTTGGCAGGAGGGAACGAGAGAAAGATAGAGTGGGAAATAGGTGGGGACAAAGAAAGACAGAGACAAACAAAGAAAAAGAGAAGGCGAGCGATACACAGAGGAGAGAGAAAGAGAGAGAGAGAGAGAGAGAAAGAGAAAGAGAGAGAGAAAGAGAGAGAGAGAGAGAGAGAGAGAGAGAGAGAGAGAGAGAGGGGGGGCTGCTCGATTGAAATTATGACATTGTAACTTGTTCTTTTTTCAAATTGTAATTCCTCCAACTCCAAAAACGGAGGAAAAACGATCGTTCATCGAAAAGACATCCGCACTCTTCATTTAGATCTAGGCTAGCCGCGAAACTAGATCAAAGATTTAAGTTTGTCTGCCTAGACCTAGATCTAGACCATAGATCTAGAAGAACCTAGGTCTACCCTGAGCCAAGAGGGCGCTCGAAACTCTCCGAAATCACAAAAGAGTTCCCTTACCGGGTCTGTATACTTTGTGACTTTGTTCCCGGTTACCGGGTCTGTATACACTCCCATAAACAAAATTGTGAATTATACTACCTTCATTCCAAGCGATCAGGTTCTACTTTCTGATGCGAACTGTATCAAATAATGTATGGTGACACGTTCCGGTATTTTTTAGTTTCTCCTGTGGCCTTTACTTTTACTGGACTAGCAAACGTGGGGGGGGGGGGTTAGTTCTTTGATGAACAACAGGAGTTCAATTCCAACATGCTGAAGTTTTTCTATCGAGTACTCCCTCTTGATTGGCCATAACAGACGTAGTGGAAGTAGCCCACTTCCAAAAAGATCTAGACTGTCAACACAGGCGCAAAACACTTTCAACGAAAACTTTCACTTGTTGAGAATTTCGATGTAAAAAATACCACTTTCCATTTTCTGGTGAAAAAATATGTTGACACCGGATGACTGCTCTTTGAATAAAAAACCGCGAGCAGTCTCTGAGGTTGCACTAAGCTCCACGCACAAGACAAGATGAACGCCGCTGTAGTCCTGGTCCTCTTCTCCGTCTGAGCAGGGATCGACGCTACAGACGAACGAGGAGAGAAGTTTACAGACGACCGAGTACATTTTTTTTCTTGTTTTTATTCACAGATCCCGACCGACAACAATGAAATTTTCCACACACATCAACTTCCTTGACCGACCAGAACTTGTTCAACATAGACCAAATACATACATCATTCATCTAACAGGAAGAGGAGCAGGAAGAAAAGACGACAACCTATAGAAGCAACACGTCATCACACGTTTTGGACTTCAGGACAAAGACATCATAAAGGTATACCGCAACATTACATCCTTTAAAGCCTACATTACATTCACAGACAACGTAGAAGAAACACTCATCAATGATCAACATAATTTCCAAATCGATGAAGACACACAAGCACACATGGAAAAACTCACACGAGAGAAAAAACGATTTTTTTAAATCATGGATTCCTCCTTCTTTCCCGCTCGACGCTATAAACGACATTTGCCACACCTTCCTTGACGACGAAAGACCTATAAAAATTATACCGCAACGAAGCAATACAAACGCCGACAAATATCTAATTCTCGCCGAGTACGACACCGACGAAGACATACCGCATTACGTGACAGTCGGACTAAGAAAAACAGAGACAGAGACCGAGACAATTACAATCTTAGTGACAAATGTGGCGTCGGTAGCCTAGTGGTTAGGCTCTCGGACTCGCAACCGTAAGGTCGTGTGTTCGAAACCCGTCAAGGGTCCGACGTTGTATCCTTGGGAAAGGCACTTTACACGAATTTTCCTCACTTCACCCAGGTGGGAATGGGTACCCGGCTACAGACAGCGAAAGATCTTGTCAGTTTGTTAGGGTTTGAGCGCTTAATCGGCTGCTCACACTGTATGCTTCTCGGGAAGCTGAGAATGTTTCGGAGTGTTCTATGGTCTGCTGGGGTAATAATATAGTGTAACGCGCATAGAGCCTGCTGCTGAGCGGGGATATGCGCTATACAAATGCTATCTATTATTTATTATTTATTCCGAATCGCCCAGTGGCCTGTCACTCCTGTGGAGTGCCAGGTCACTGGTCCAGCCAATGCCCACGAAGAGTAAAACGGTACGCTCCACCTCCACCTCCACCACCACCACCAACATCAACATCAACAACATCAACATACAGCAACGCAGTCAGACGAACAACCACAGAGAAAACACCGCTCTTGCCAACCCCAACACAACCAACAACACTTAGGCCGATCTCACCTAAACCCGCACCGAGACTTACACAGTCCAAACCAAGCTCACCACCACCATTTCCACCACTACCACAAGCCCGGTAAGTATCAGCCCCGACACCAACCCCCCTCCCCCCACCCATCGCCTCAACACCTGCC